GCTATGAGTCGGAAACGACTCGACGGCACTTAACAACAACAACAACAGTGGCTAATGATCATGAACATTTCTTCATGTGTAAAACCAATCACGTTTGAGATATAAAAGGAAAAGATTAGGCATGAAGCAAGGAAGCACAGATGGGGGAAGACAGATGACACAACGCACGATGACTGCCAAGGAGCAACAAAGAAACAGAAGCTGAAAAGAGACAAGGACCTTTCCACAGAGCAGACAGAAGAGAAAACTTTCCTCTAGAACTAGTGCCTAGTGCCCTGAATTCACACTTATAGACTCCTAAACTGTGAGAAAATACATTCTGTTTGTTAAAGCCACCTAATTGTGGTATTTCTGTCATAACAACACTACATAATTAACACAGGCAGGGAAGGAGGAAGCAAAGAGTGTGTCACCCATGACCTCATTTCATCCCCACCATAGCCCTGCTGGCAGAACTTCTGCTCTTCTGGGTGTGTAAACAACAGCTCAGAGAGAGTAAGCACCTTGTCCAAGGTCACACAGCTACTTAGTGGGCTTCAGTGTTCATACCACCTCCGTGGTCTTTGCCGCATCAACACACCTCCTTGGTCATGGCTTTCTGCAAATTTTTCTTTAAATCACCTTACTGCTTTTTTATTTAAGTGCATCTGCTTTAAAACGAGACTTTATATTACTCCCATAAATGGAAAATCACAGAATTCATGGGCTCATTTTATATATTTTTATAACACACATTAAAATAAATTTATCACTATAAAAATGAAAAATATTCATCCATATATACCATGTAAAACAAGCTCATATTACATCAGTTGGGGTGCTACCCTCTCTTTGGGAAATGACTCCAGACGGGTCCTGTTTTGTCAAATGATAATGTTATTAATGGCTACCATTTAATGTAGCATTGCTTTTTTAAATGGTTTCACAGCAGGATCCCGATCAAATCCAGGCTCCCCAGCCTGGCCTCAGGACCTTACCAGTCCCTGTTTTGCTCATATCTGGCCAGTCTGGCCTTGCTGCCCATGGACAGTGCCAAGCTTACTCTCATCTCAGGTCCTTAGCCCTTGCTGGTCTACCTGCCACCAGATAGTCCCACTTCTGGGCAGGTAGGTTGAAGGAGACATTCATTCAAGTCTCTGCCCAAATGTCACCTCTTCTAAGAGACCTCCTTGACCATTTGAAATGCCTATTTCATTGTCAAGCCTTGTTTATTTTCCTTCGTAGGCCTTGCTGCTGTCTGATAACATAGAAGGGTACAGTGCGGTGGTTAAGAGTGTAGTTTCATAGCCACATGGCCTGGCTCCAGATCCTGGCATCTTCCAGCTCCTAGCCCAAGAGCCCCAAGTGTATAGAGCCCTCTTGAACTCACTGGCAAATGAAAAAAGTTTGATCAAGTTCACCAGTCAAATTTTGTGGGTCCGATGGAACAACTCTTGCCAAAGAGAAGGAGATTGAAGACCTTTTATAACCTCTCCTGGGACAGAAATGATGGGCTGTGGTAGTGTCCAATCCCAACCCTAGCATCTCATATGGTGGTGGGGCTTCACGGCAGTGCCCTTTCAGTTTTCTCTAGAAGCTTTATTTTGCAAGCGAGCTCAGTTCCTAGACAAAATGGAACGTCTTACAAGAATCTTACAGTTGCTTCATGGTCCTTTCCTTTAACGCAACATGAACGCTTGCTCATCAGAGAAGAGAATATACAGCCCAGTGTAACCTGCTTAAGAAGAAAATTGTCATCAAATCATTTCTGACTCACGGGGACCTCATCTGTGTCAGAATAGGCCTGTGCTCCACAGGGTTTTCAGCGGCTGAATTTTCAGAAGCAGATTTCCAGGCCTTTCTTCCAAAGTCCCTTTGGGGGGACCTGAAGCCCCAACCTCAGTTAGCAGTTGAGCACGTTACCTGTTTGGCCCACCCAGGGACTCCTAGCTTGCTTAATATTCGTTAGTTATTAATCCCAACTTTCCCCTTGAGTGAGGGGAAAATCTCTGATTGAGATCTTCTTGAGGCCCACAAAGAGGGATTTGACAAGGGTCTTGCAGATTGCTGTGAGGATTTAAGGCCTCATTCAGGGAAAGGGCCAAGCCCCGGGGCTGGCGCATGGCTGATGCACTGTAAAGGATTTGATTAGTAAGTGTTCCATCCTGGTTTGGAGCCCTCCACACTTCTTCAGCCGACTCGATGGCACCTAACAACAACAGCAACAACAACAACAACAAACCTCTTCAGAGCTCAGGGAGAACCTGCTTTTCTCTGAGGTTGGGTGGTAGAATGGGAAAACCACTACTCCCAGGGGTAGGCTCTGCAAGCAGTCAGCCTGAGTTCAATTCCCCATTCTTTCACAGATGAGTTATGTGACCTTGGATGAGTCATTTCTTTTCTCTGTGCCTCTGTTTCTTCATCTGTAAAATGGGGATAACAATAGTATCTCCCTCACAAAGTTGTGGTGAGGATCAAAGGAGTTAATCAGGGAATGTGTTTAGGATGATTCTTGACATGTGGACAATACTTAATGGACTTAATGGACAATCACATTTTTGCATCCAGCCAGATCCAGGTTTGCATCGGGCCACCAGCACCCATGGCTGGGCTGTGATTCTGGGTGAGAGCCTTGACTTCTCTGGACCTGTTTCTTCACGTGGAAATGGGTTTGGCCACAGTCTCTGCTTCCAAGCTTGGTGGTGAGCATTCAGTGAGCAGGGCACAAGATGGTGCTAGCCCCCAGGCCTGATGCACAGCAGGTACTGATGGTGTAAGGGTCTGCCCTCCCTGTGAATTCCCCTTTGAGGGGGTGGAGGCACAGGCAATGGCTCTCAGTGGCAGGCTGTAGCCCTTCCCCCACTCGTCCTTCCAGCTGCCCCGCCCCAGTTGTGACGACCTTGCCCCTGCCTGTCTAAGGCACAGGAAGGAAGTCAGGAGGGCAGCGGGCAGCTTCCCCTTTTCTGTCCTCCTCCAGGCACTGGCCTCCTTCCCCCTCAGTGCTTCAGAGGAGGGACAGCAGAGCCATGGCCACCCGCACAGCTGCCGTCCGCCAGACCTGCTGCTGCTTCAATGTCCGTATAGCCACCACTGCCCTGGCCATCTACCATGTGGTGAGTGTCTGAAAGGCCCAAGGAGATTGTGTGTGTGTGTATGAGTGTGTCTGTGTGTGAGTGTGAGTGTATGCTTGTGTGTTGAGCATATGTGAACATGCATGAGTGGGTGTTTGTGTTGTGACTGTGTGAGTGATTGTATGTATGTGTTTGTGTGTAACTGTGTGTGTAGGGGGGTGGCATCACCTCTGACTTACTGAGCTTCCTCAAATATTAGGATAACTGTTCATCACCTTTTTGTGGGACTCTCGACAAATCCTTTACCAGCTCTGGCCCTCAGGTTCACCTCTGTCACAGGGGACTCTGCGGCTGCCCTGGTGCAGAGCACTGGTGGAGCAGGAGGCCTCCTTCTGAGCCCTCAAGGCACCATTCATTCTGAAGCTCAGTTTCTTCCTCTGCAAAATGGGGCAAAAGTGTAGCCACAGGGTTACCTAGGAGCAAACGGAATAGTAAATGTGAAAGTGCTTTGGGAGGCCAGGAATCTGGGAGAAATGTAGGGCTAGGGTTGTGCCAGGATGTGGGGTCAGGTCACTGGCACGGCTTTTTTTCTCCCATGGGCCTGGATGGGACCTGAGTTGCTCGAAGGGATGAGATGTGGGAAGCTCCCCTTTGTGTTCAGGGAGAGGGGCTGAGCCCTCTGAGCTTACTGCTAGGTCTAACCACAGTCTTCTCTGCCTCGCCCTAGCTGCTGTGAGGTGATACCCAGGGACATTATTACCCCAGCAGTTCCTCTTTGCAGGTTGGGGGTGTGAAGGCATTGTTTCCTGCTAACCCACCGTGTAGCTCTGGACAAGTCACTTGCCCTCAGGACTGCAAACCTGTGTTTGGGGTGGTTGAAGATTGGAGTCTTGGTTCTGTCTTATCCAGACCCTCCTCCCTCCCTTCCCCTCCCCCAACTCTCAGCTCCCCCCAGCTCCCCCAGACCCAGGCACCTTCCTCTTAGGGATGACTCAAGGCCTGTGGTTAATAGTTCTCTCACTGGTCTGGAAGGGCTTCCTCAAAACTAGCTTAAATCTGGCATGCTGCAGTCAGCTGCTGTCAACAGCTTAGTCCTGGCTGCATCTGCTTCCTGTCACAGGCAGGGACAGTAGGGCTGGGGTGAGAGCCCAGCCTTCCGAAGGGCAGTGCTGCTTAACGGTTAGGTGCACAGCTTCTGGATCCAGACTCCTGCATGCAAATGCTGGCCTCACCACTTTCTAGCTGTGCAGCCTCGGGAAAGTTACTTAATCTCTCTGGGCCTTAATTTCTTCCTTTAAAAAGTGGGGGATGAGACTAATAACAATACCTACCTCAGAGGGTTGTTGTGAGGATCAAGGGAGTTAATATCAGTAACAGTGCCTGGCACTGTGCTTTATTGTTGTTGTTATTATTTGGAACCAGACAGACCTGGGTTTGACTCTGGCCTCTGCCACTGTTAGCTGTGTGAGCCTGGATGGTCGGTCACTTGCCATCTCTGCAGCTCAGTCTCTTGTGACCTAGGGTTGGTGATCACTCCCTCTGAGTGTTTAGGAAGTTAGGTGTGCAGTTCTGGCACATAGTCAGTACTCAATCAGAGCTTTAAAACTTTTCCCTTTCAGGAGCCCACAGTGCACAGAGCAGGGCCTCTGTATTTGTTGACTGAGTGACTCAGGAGATTTGCTTCTTGGGGCTTCTGATGCTGTGACTAAAATTGGTGCTGGGGAGTCTGAGGGCAGAGAGACACTAGAACTTTGGGGAGAGGGGGCTTCAAGGTTCACCAGAGACTAGGGAGCCGTTGTCAGCAATGGGCCCCACAGTGAGCCTGGCTTTGCCCTGGGCTATGTGTGAGGCCCTGCAGCTTGCTCCCTGCTGCAGACCTCAAAAAATGAGAGAGGGTCGAGAAGGACCCACAGATGCTACTGCTATGATGTCTGAGTTTCTTCTGCCTCTGTTCTTAGTGACCCTGATGTGGGCACCTATGGCCCTAAGGCTGCAGGGATAGGAGGAACCAGGAAAGAGAAGAGCCAGGGTGGTTCCTGCCTACAAGGAATCTGCACAGGGTGTGTGTGGGCGTGTGATATGTGTGTGCGATATATGCATGTATGCAATTTATGTGTATGTGGAATGTGTGTGAGATGTATGTGTGGTGTGTGTCTGTGTGATGTGTATCATGGGGTGTATGTGTGTGGGGCTGTGTAATGTATACACATGTATGATATGTGCATGATATATGTGCACGGTGTGTATAATGTGGGTTATGTATGTTATGTGTGTTTGTGCAGTGTATGTAATGTGATGGGATGTGTGACTGAGTGTGTGTGTGTATGTGTATGTGTGTGTGTGTGTAGTATATGATAAAAGGGGGCAGGAATAGAAGCTCCCACTTGGTATCATCCCTTTCTTTAGTTGCCACAACAATGCCTGTGACATGAGTGTAGTTGGGGGCTCAGAGAGGTGCAGGGAGGCCCGTGGCCACACAGCCTGGGGAGTTCTTGCTGTGCCTCCCTTGGAACACATGGGCGGCCCCCACAGTGTTTCCTTGTGGGGGCCCAGTGTGCGTCAGACATGGGCTGCTGCTCTCATGGTTGAAGTCAATCTGGTGGATCTCAGCCTGCTGGGTTTCGGGAGGAGCTGCAGGGCCTCCTTCCACTCTGCCAGCTTTTCACTTGAAGTCCTTATCACCTCCAAGGCAAGACTGACCTTGAGGGAGCTGAAGGACACGGGGGCCTCTTCAAACTCTGAGAGGGTGCAATGCTCCCTGAGGGACAGTGTGGGATGTGAAGCCTCCTTGGAGAGCAGGCCCTGGGTCCTTGTTCCAGCTCTGCTCCACATGAGCAAGCTTCTCTCCAGGCTTCAATTTCTCCATCTATACAATGAGGGGTGAGGGGTGTGGACTATCTAAGAGGGCTCAACCTCAGGTGTCTCCTGGCCCAGGCATGTCATGTAGTTGAGAGCAAGAGGTCAGATGACTGGGGGTCTGTGCTCAGTCAACCCTGGTGGATGTGTCTTTTCCACCGATCGTTGCCATGAAGGACTGTGGTTGCTCTTTTGGCTCAAAGACGCGATGAAACCCCTGTGCAATTGTTCATTACAGATTAGTAAGTGAGCACAAGTAAGCCTGTGCTTACCTGACTTATTGGTTAATCTGCCCTGCCTATAATGTACCTATAGTGTGAGCCATGGGCAGCTATAGAATCTTCTAGAGCAGGAGAGGGCATGAGAGCAGAGAAGGGGCCTGGAAGCTGTAACATTTGCTTAGGCAGTCAGTCATTCTCTGTTGATTCCAGTAGGGGATCCTCTGCTTGCTCCCTTGATGAGAGCCCTCTGCTCCTTCCCAGAAAGGGCTGGGGCTTTCCTGGGGAGCAGGCATCAGGTCGCAGGTGTGTGACAGGGCCTCGAACATCTGGGTGGAAAAAAGAAGCTGCTGCCCAGATGTGTCAATTACCCAGGGTGGTGCGTCATCTGGAGCCAGCCATGGGCAACCACCCTGCACATTGTGAGCTATTCATGGACGTGGCCCATCTGGGGAGGGCTATATTGGGCTCCTTGGTGTCCTGAGACAGTGCTACGCTCTATGAGTCTTCGGGGTGTTAACACAGAGGACACTTGCATGTCTACTGGGGAAGGTGGGGCCTTAGCTTCTGGCTGGAGGGCTTCCTAAGATTTCCTCTGGGTTTATGTAGCTAATTCTCTGGGTCACGTAGGGAAGTCAGAGAACTTTCTTAGATAGACTTCTTTGATCCTGGCTTATCTGTCAATCCAAAGCAAGTCAGCAAAATGACTGACATCAATGGCAGGAGGCAGGGACCACCAGAAGGCCTGTTTGCCCAAAATAGCTCCTAAGGTGCCTGGAATTCCACCACTAGGAATTAATAGTCCAAATTGAAAACTTATGCTTGCTATGATTTCAGCAATGCAGAAACAAAACAAAACAAAGCAAAAAAACCCACTGCCATCAAATTGTTTCCAACTTATAACGACCTTTAAGACAGAGTAGAGCTGCCCCATAGCATTTCCAAGGAAGCAAATCTACAGAAGCAAACTGCTGCGTCTTTCTCCCACAGAACGTCTAGTGGGTTCAAATCACCGACCTTTTGGTTAGCAGCCAAATGCTTTAGCCACTGTGCCACCAGATCTCCTATCTGTACAAAGAGGACACATCAAAAGAAGACTGGGAGGACATGCAGTGGCTGCTGACTGTGGTTGTCTCTGGGTTATAGGACTGTGAAGCCTCCTTCACTGTCTTTTTCATGTTTGGTACAATGGGCATGTGCTACTTCTTTTAAAGAAACTTTTAATTTTAAATCAGGTTGAGATCTACAGACAAATTGTGAAGAGAGTACAGAGCATTCCACCATTATTAACATCTCATTATTAACATCTTACATTTGTCTCAATTAATGAGCTGATACTGATAGTTTATTATTAGCTGAAGTCCATACTTTATTCATATTTGCTTGTTGGTAGCTGTCACTGAGTTGGCCCCTAACTCGTGCCGACACCATGCGCTATGGACTGGTCATGTGCCGGCCCCATGATTGGTTGCAGATCACAGCATGATGATCTGTAACGTTTTCTTTGGCTGATTTCTTGAAAGTAGGTTGCCAGGACTTTCTTCTGCACCAATTGCCATGGGGTCGATTCTGACTCATGGCGACCCCACATGTGTGTCAGAGCAGAACTGTGCTCCACAGCATTTCTGGTAGCTGATTTTCAGAAGCAGACCACCAGGCCTTTCTTCTGGGGTGCCTCTGGGGGAGACCAGAACCTTTCAGTTAGCTGCTGAGCTTGTTAATGTTTGCACCACTCTTCCTCAGTTTTTACCTAATGTCCCTTTTCTGTTCCAGGGTCCCATCCAGGACACCACACTGCACTTAGCCATTGTGTGGCCCTAGACTCCTCTGGCTTGTGACTTTCCTTGTTTTTGATGACAGACAGGCTAGTAGTGAGGAGTCCTGGCCAGTCATTTTGTAGAATGCCCCTCACCTCAGCTGGGACTTGTCTGATGTCTTTCTCATAATTACACTGGGTTACAGGGTTTT